CTGGTCATTAAAATAAATTGAAAGTGGCACAATAGTAACTCCAGCAGTCTTGATCTGATCGATTAATTTATCTTTTTTTTATGCAGAAGCAAGTCCCCTTAGCGGTTTATATTTTCTTTTCTTTTTTATTTATAGCTTTGTTTTCTGCATTGTAAAATGAATCCAAGGTTTCCCGCTCGTCTGTCCCTTGCTTCAAAGGAAACAAGTTATCCCATAGCAAAAGTTGCAACTAAACTTGTTGTTGGCTATTTACTTGATGAAATACGCAACAATTGTGTACCAACCACACCTGCTGCATTTAAACCAGTGGTTGATTATGCTGTCATTAGGATTCTTCGTTTTGAGTTCGAAAAATTTAATGAAACGGATTGTGAACTGTCAGCTTCCATGAAATCAGTGAGAGAAGTAAAGAAAGAAAGGCATACATTTGTTTTTAAAAGTGTATTCATGTCAAAATCTGCATGTTGAATTACGTTGGTGTTTGGACAACCTGTACGTCGTTCTGCTCTAATTGTTCGCGAACTGTCATGACTACTGCACTTATGAACTAATTTATACACTCTGTTGGTTGGGCGATCTGAAAACCGAAAGGTAGCACTCAGTAATTTATTTCATGACATCGGTTCCAAATTTAAAATTTGCTGACAGGATTCCAATTCCGATCATCTCCTTATGCCACCTACGCTTAAGAAGCAACACACTTTACTCTTCAGAATATATGCACCAATCTGCTACGTCGCCTCACCCAAATGTTCTTACAGATGACAAAAACATAATTATTGATGACTCGGAATAGGGAAGGATTGAAAGGCTGGAAAGTACTAAATAGGGATGCTGGTTCTGTGCAAGGTAACTTTCCAGCAGAAGGACAGCTTGAAGACAACCTGAGTACATCCTCATTGTCATCTCATGTTCGAGTCATACAAATAAGAGAACCAGCCATTCATTGGATATCTCACTGAGACATCTTGCTGCCCATGTAGGAAAGCAATGTTGCATACAGTAAATTCCATTACTCGAGACATCTAGAACAAGTGATGAGCAATCCAGCAGGATAGATTCAATTACACGAACACTCCAATTACTATAAGAAATTCTACGGAGCTCTGACAGCAATTTATGCACTGTGCTGCACTACGCTCAAAGTTGCCTACCCGGTGCAGATGGATTAAATGCCTCTCACAGATAACGTTCGTTCTGAACCGATCGATGTCGAACACTATTAGTCTCTCTTTAATGCCAGCAGTAGAATGAAAGGTTCAGCAGTTCGTCTCTTCCTGCTACGGAGAAACTGTCGGACCAAAGAGCAAGATGCAGTCATCAGCTTTGCATAAGGGAGAAAGAACAAAAGTCAAAGTGCTCTATCGAAGAATAACTTTGTTCTCCATTGCTGGGAAATTATCGGAAGAGTATTTCCAAACAAAATAATACCGTTACTATAGAATTACCTGAAAGTCAATTTGGTTTCAACGTTAATAGGAGTACCTCAAACATGATATTTTGTAAAAGTCTATGACAGATCTCGATAAAGGGACTGAGAATAAGCGATAGCCTCGTGCGATTAAAAGCCTACACATAAACCTTAAATCGCTTTGTCTAGGTATACTCTTTGCAAGTTGCAGAGACTGCCGGATTTTCCGACTGAAAGTTAACTTGAAAACGACATAAGCTCTGATCTTCACATGAACACAGTCGAATCAAAACGGAATCTAACGGTTCGATTATTTCGAAACATCAATTCCGACAGGACAGATAACAGAGTGACAGAGAGATAGAGGATAGATTGATAAAGAGGTGGACAATCGAATGATAAAGAGATGGATAACAGATAAGCAAAGACGTACAGAGTATTCAAAAAACTCATTAAAAGAGTACGGAAAATTACACGAAGCAAAATACGAAAAAGTGGTGGGTGGGAGAGCCATTATGTTGCCTACTCTTTTATATGGGTCTGAAATTCCTTGAATGGTTTAATTAGCGTCGTCTCCGCAACATTCCAAATATTCTCTGCAGTGACTACGTGACTAATGTCACTATTCTCGGGCAGGTAAGGTCACCAATATTGAGGACATGTCACTTGGATCAGAGCGACGCTGGGTGGGAAATTATCGCCTAACTCGCCAGTAACTACTGCAATCTCAAAAGAAAGGTTGCAGAGATTCTGACATACGTCAATGAGAGAGACGGGAGACAACACTGTTGCCGTCTTTGTTAACGTGCGTAAGATTTGTGTTTTATTTGGGGTACAAGTTGTTTTCGATATGGGACTAACTGATAAAACAAAATTAATTTAGGTAAGTGATGAAATGGTATATTGAAATAAGGCCATACCAGTACGATATTTTTCTTTTTCTTATCAAGTCTTTACCATCAACTAATTAATCACTAGAAAAATCAAAAATCAAAGTTTCTTATCGATAGAAAATGAATAAATGGAAAAATGACTGATTAAGCAAATTATCAAATCAAATAGAAATTGATTATTGCAGAAATAGGAACAGAAAACAATATGCTTCATTCGATAGGTTGAAATAAGAAAAGTGAAAAAGTAGGAAGCAATGATTTGTCTTTCACTGATAAGAGAGATCATAGTAAGAGGTCATAACAAGATGATAACCGTTACTATAAATTTAAACCATGTCAGAATAGCATATATGTTTTGCTGTAGCAGATTTATGAATAGATGACTAAAGTTATTTACTTAAGAAAAGTTATTCTCAAAAAGAATAATGACAAATTCTGTAAAGCAATTTAAACCATTAATCCTTTGATTTTTGATTATTTAAATTGATTTTGCAAAATGTGAAGGGAACACATTGAACTATTAGCATATCAAATCAATTATTCAGCTCATCACCTTTAATTAATAATTGCCTATCATAATTAATTTATTATTATACAGTATAATATATTAGCATATAGTATTCACATATTATTCATTTCAATCTTTTGAATTTTCTAAAACTAATTGAGTATTTTTATCAACTTTATTTTTCATTTTTATAACAACTTATTAATAATTTTTCATTTCTATAATAACTTATTAATATTAATAAATTATTTCTTTTTATTTTTTTATTACCTCCTTTGTTATTAAGAAATTAGTATGACTTATAGTTTATTATTTCAATTATAAATTGCTACTACCAGTGTCTGCCTTAGTTAACACAGACTTATATGTAATAAGTAAATATAATTTTCTTACAAATGATAGAAGTATAAGGAATAAAAAAAGTGAGCAGACAGAAATTCAGTAGAAATAACGATAGGAATAATCAAAATGTTAAATTAACACACAAAATTATCTGCAAAATTTAAAAAATTATTTGCAAAGTTACAAGAAGAAATTAGCAAACATGGACAAAAAGGAGAAAAATGGAAGATATAAAAGTAACAAAAAAAGTAATAATTTATTAACTAACATGTGAAGAAGTGAAAATTAAAATTAACACAACATGCAATTAATCAAATGTAACAACAAAACAATCACAAAATCCAAAAAGAAAAAAAAAAAAAACGCATGCAATAAATCAGCAAGAATACTATAAAAATGTATATGGGAAGTAAGAAAAATGAAATAAAATGTATACAAAGAACAAGCTAACAAAAAAAAAAAAAAAAAGAAAAAAGTGTGTACAAAGAATTGTTGGGTTTTAACATAAAAAATTAGCATAAAAATGGTAAAAATAATAAAAAAAGAAAAAGAAAAAAAGAAAATTAATGAAATTAAAATTAGTGAATCAATAAAAAAAAATTGCAGAAAAGAAATTGACAGAAAATAACTTGTGAAAGCATAAAATTAATAGAATAATTAACAAAATTAACAAAAAAAAAAAAGGAATTTATAATTTTGTATATTCGTTTAATAAATAAAGATTAGTGCGAGTTTAAGAGATAGCTAATAAGTAAAATTAAATAGAAAATAAGTCAAAAAGTGAAATTTACTCAAAAATACATATCAAGTAAAAGAGACATACAACTAGTAAAATTAGTAAAAAGAGTGGCAAATTAGAAAATGAAATTGGCAAAAACAGATGAATAACAAAAAGCAACTAAAAAGCATATGGTAAATGAAACGAAATGAAAAAAGCAAACAATGAATAAAGTTATAAGAAAAAGTTAGCAAATATGAAACGAAAAAAAATTGGCAAATAATAAAGTTATGACATATAAAACTAAAAAAATCTATTGATCAAATTGCACTAAAATAGCAATATTTCATCTATTTTACTCATTTGCTAAAGTCTTTATTATTTCATTAACTTTAGTATTTTCCATAAATACACATGGAATTAATTTAATAAAAATTTGCAAATGCATAAAAACAGTAAAGTGAGAGATAAAAGAGGGAATTATAAAATTGTAAATCAAAATAAATCAAAATTTACTGTTATTCTCATTTTCTACAAAGATTCATAAAATTTTTTAATTTCCCACTGCTGATAATAAAAAGGTTAAAAACTCAATTCCGTGTGAATAATACTATCAAACTATAGATATTAATTTGTTTAGCACATTAAAATATCGATGTTCAAATTCCCTTTTGATACTTTGATATAATTGGGAATATTAAATAAAAAAGTAATGAAGAAATAAAGTAACAAAAAATAATAATAAAGTAATAAAGAATGCCATAGAACAAGACAAAGAGTGTCGTTAGGGTTGTACTTTTACGACGACCATCATCACAATGACACACTGAAGGAAAGAATGACTCATATGTGAAATTATGATATCTCAACATTTTTCATTTTCAGGAAGAGAGGTTTCAGTGTAGAATCATTTGGTTCAGGAAGTCAAGTCAAATTACCAGGGCCTACACCGGATCGGCCAAATTGCTATGATTTTGGTGTGGCCACATATGATTTCATATACAATGACTTGAAACAAAAAGACCCTCAACTGTAAGTACAGTTCTGTTCTCTTTATTTTGTTCTGTCCTTTTGATTTTGCTATGCTTTGCGAATATTTTCAGATATACGCAGAATGGTTTGTTGAATATGTTAGATCGTAATCGTAGAATAAAGGATATGCCACAGAAGTTTCAACATTTCAGTGGGAAATTTGATGTGATTATATGCTTGGAGGAAAGAGTATATGATCAGGTGAAATTTATTTTCATTGTTTTCATTGCTGATAACCAACTTGCAATGAATGATAGCAAAAATTAGAGTTTTATTTGAGCTGGAAATTGAGAAGGAAGTGGCATAGCGGATAGCGAAGATTAAGATAGTTTATTGCGACAGTTTAGCTAGGCGATGAATTGTGTTGGGCCATCTGCGTCTTATGAATTCCTTTCGAAAGGTCAACATTGATGTAGATTGCACTGTAAGCTATTCTGTTAATTACTTTTGATAGTTTGTTGGATTAATATTTGTATGCTTATTTATGTAAGCTAAAGAAGTATTTTGTCTTTAGATAGTGGAAGATTTACAGACGCGCGACACAAATGAAGGGGACAGTGTCCATGTCATCAACATTGATATACAGGATAACCATGAAGAGGCTGCAATAGGAGCTTTATTTGTTTGCGATTTATGTGCTAAGGTTTGTATATTGAATTGTTCTCGTAATAGTTCTAAATATCACTACGGGAAGTAGCAAGTTGCTAAGCATCGCTTAATATTTCAATACGTTGCTGCTATTGCTTCCTGTGTATTGAAAGAAATTCAACAGTGTTTTTTATGCAAATAAATTTCAACTATTGGATTTATATTTAAAAGGAACTTTTGCGAGTAATTGATAAATGCTAGAAGCTGTATGGATAGGTTGGATCAGATTTTCAAATTCATTTAGTTCATTTTTCCAAATTAGATTTTTTTTTTAATCGTATAATTGCTATTCATGTTGTCTTGCTAATGAAAGTTTGAAATATAACATCTTATTTCACAATTTATTATCTAACATGTATTTATATAAATATTTCAGAGCAGTGATAACTTAGATTTCTTGCTTAACTTGGATAACTTTTATATTTTCGAATGTAGTGTTTTTAACACTTTTTTAAGCAATTCATTCAAAACTTCTGACTAATTTCTATCATTTAGTTAGTAACATTCCTCAATTTTGATAATTAATTGAAACAGAAGTATGTTAAAGAAAAATGAAAAAAAAAGAATCACTTAATTTTTTCAAGTCATTTAACATTGTTGCAAATTATTTATGTTATTTTATTGCAATGAAAAATTTTATAGAATTTCATTTCATTTTTGTTTAAATATATAAAAGAGAAAGAATAGGTAAGCATACGTTGTAAAATATAATTGGCGGTGATTGCGAGATACCAACAAATTATACTTGCACAAGCAGCTGATGCATCTTTGAAAACAAATTAATTTTTCGAGAATGTATTGGTTTGTTATCATAAATTTATCTTTTCCATTCAGATTATCAAGACATTTCACTTTGTTATATTCAAGTAACCAACTATATTTTGATAAAATTTATTTTCTTTACTAAATTAAGAATGTTTGAATTGATTTTAATTGAATTATCTTTACAAATATTCTTTTAGTAAATCATTTTTAACCACTAGTCATAAAAATTTAATGTAATATTTTAGGTTAATCTTAAATGAATTTTAAATTGTAAATGATTTGTTAATGGACGTGAAAGTATTAGCATAAAAATGTATGGTTTTGTACATGAAAAATATATATGTTATTTCTTGTATGATAGAATTTGTAATTTATATTGAATAATTTAATGAATAAATAACTTAATTTTTCCTTTCAAATTTTCAAAATTTATTTATATTGTAATATCTTACAATAATAAATTTTTTTGATTTTGAAATGAATATAGAGAAGTAATGATATTCTCATTTATTCAATATTTTATGCCTAACATTTTTATAACGAGCATATTCTAAATTATACATTAGTGTATGTATCATTAGGCTTATGCATATGTTTCATTTCTTGTCTTTAAAACAAAACAAAAAAAATAAAAAATAAATAACCAATGAATAAAATTCAGCATTTTTTAAATTTGTCTTTTATTGTAGGATAATTGCATGCAAAATTTACTGTTCGTAATGATAGAATGTCTCATTCTAGAAGTAATTTGTATATTTATTGACCTAGTAGGAAAAAGTTTCGTTATGGGATTACCTTTGACTTATTTTTTAGGCCTAATGGCAAAAAGTTTCATCATTGAAGTGACTTTTTTTTTTTGTCCTTCAATCATTTCTTTTTATTTCTGTTCATAAATCTTCGGCAAAATATCACTGTGCTGAAGCAATTTAATTAGCAAGGGAATTAGGCTTATTTTTGCTTAAGATACATTTAAGTGGTGAAAAAGCCTGGGGCTTCTTATTCTTTCTTAAACTCATATACAGCTCAGTTTTGACTTTGAAGAATCAAAATTGATATAGTTTTTAGTCTCCAGGTTACTGTTTTTTTTTTTTTTTTCTTTTTTTCGTAATTTCTAGGTATTAAAATTATGATATTTTTAAGCAATTAAAAAAAAGTTTACTTTTCATAAAGACGCATAACTTTTTTTTCTTAAGAAAAACCTGTAACTTGTCTATTTGGTTTTAGAAATTTTATAAATCATATCGAAAATATTTTTTTTTTTTTTTAATTTAGTATTTATATAGTTACGTTCATTATTTGCTATAAATATAACATTTGATTGTTCTGTCAGTTATGTAAATTTAAAAATTTTTTATTCCTCAATACATTAATTCTTTTACTGTCAGAAATTTAATTTTTCCTCAAAATCAATAAAATATTTTAATTAAAATTATTTTCCGTTTGTATCATAAATTTTAATATTAAATTATTTTCTTTTTTATCATAAAAGGATTTAAAATTTCAATTCATTTAAAAACAAAATTAATTATTATCATATAAATGGAAGTAATAGCTTCAATGTCAGTTCATTTTATATATTTTGTAAAAAGTGGTTGCTTTAATCGTTAATTTTCCTTGAATTCAACCGATTGCAATAACAGTTGGTTGCATCTATTATTGCGTCAGTTGGTCAATAACTGTTTATTAACTTTGGTTTAGCTATTAATACCTACATTTTCATTCATTTTCTCTTATAAGTAACAATTAAACATTTCACTATCATTTATTTATCTTTTTTTTCTTCTGTTAGGAACAGCTAATGCAATTATTATTATTTACAATTAGAGAATTATTTAAACTATTGCTTATTTTTTTTTTTTTTTTTTTAGCATTTAATTCAATAGGCATTTTATTTTAGTATAAGTTTAATTAATTAATTTTTAACATTTACAATTTATCTTTTTGATAAAGTATATAAATTTTACACTTTTTTTAACGAGTTTTTTTTTTTTTTTTAATTGAAATTTTATATTATTTAAGCAACATTGTTTAACAATATATGTTTATCAATTTTAAACTTGTTATTATAAAAGGTTTACTGGAATGATGCAACAACTATGATCAATGCTAATATATTCTTAAATCCATCATTCATTTATTTTGATCCTATTTCAGCCTGCTTCCCTCTTCTTTTTTCATTCTTTCTTATCTTTCTTTGCTATCCGTTTGTTGTTTAATGAAAGTTTAAAATGAAAGAAATATATGTTAAATCAAGCAGCAAAGATGGAAAGAAAAAAGAGTGAAATGTGATTAGATGAATTGATTCATCGTTATTAACAACATCGTCAAAGTTAAAAGTTTATTTCAAGACGAACTTTGATCCGTTAAGGAATCATAAATTTATTCTTTTTTTTTTTTGTTTTTTTTTTTTTTTTTTTTTCGTTTCTTCTTAGTCTTATTCACTTCCTGTTTATATTAATTTTTTTCTTTTTTTTTTTTTTTTTAATACTGAATTTACTTTTAGCATTGTACAATTTTCAATAATTTTAAAATTTAACTTCGCAAGCTTTTGATTATTCATATTTTGAACTTGTAATAAATAGTTTAAAAAATTAATTAAAGATTTGCTAACTCATAAGCTTTTCGATATTCCATTCTTCGTGTGTTATTGCAGGGAATAATATTTTTTTTTTTTTTTGCTAAAAAGGAAAATTTTCAACTAAATTTTTCTCTGTGAAATGTTGAGAAAAAAAAAATGATTATTAATTCCTAATTCTAAACACAAAATTATAATCATTTCTTTATAGTTAGCAGTTAGAGATTTGCTTAACCAATTATTATGTTAAAATATTCAAACTTTTTATGATTTTAAATTGTTGTTGAAATTTGATTGAAAATGTTATTTACTGATTTTTAACTCTTTCTAATTAATAAATAATTACCTCTCTGCTTATTCTATTAAGCTTTTCTCAGCTCACTCATTATGTTAATTCATTTGCTTTATGCATTCAATTTTTCTTCATTAACTTTAACATTTATACATCTTATTCTTTCATTTAACTATTTTTCATAACATTTTGAAGCGTTTTATCATTAACTTAGCTAATTTATTTTCACTGATCACTTTGTTTACCTTCCTTGCTTACTCACTTAGTTGCAATCTTAATCATTTGTAAAACTGTTTTGAATATTTGATTTCTGCTCCATTCCTACCGCTTTTCTGTTTAGTCTTCTTTTTTTTTAGATAAATTTTGGATTACTTTGAACTTATATTATTAATATTCTCATTGGTTTCACACTGTTAGATATTATCAAGCGAAAACTTTAATTTTACATAATATTTTCTAATCAACGAAATTATTATTTGAACCATTTTATTATTTTCATTTATTATTATTATTATTATTTCTATTATTGCTATTACTGCATGTAATGTTTTGTTGATATAATAATGATTTTTTTTTTATATTAGCAAAAAAAAAGTAATATGGCAGTATAATAATTTGTTGTTGTACTTCGTTTTTCTGATATTCGTGCAATTGGGAGCGAAAAAATTGTTTGATGTTGGACTAAAAGAAAATAATGGAAAAATTGGACAAATGGTTGAGGGGATTTGATATATTTCTTTTCTACCATGGATAAATGAAAGTTTTCTGCCAATGTTTTAAAATAACAAAAAAATTTTTTCGTGAAACAAAAATGAAAAAAAAAAAAAAAGAATTATAAGATAAAAATAAGAAAAAATATATATATGGGAAAATTAGAGAAATATTTTCTTTTTTTGTTTCCGTAATCCGATAATATCGCATAAATTAAAAAAAAAAGAAATTTTTTTTTTTAAAGAATTAAATCATTAAAAGCGGTTTTATTTGGACACGTTTTTATTTTTCTTGCTCTTTCTAATTTTTCCAATAAAGACTGAAGTTTTGAGTTACTTTCTTTTCATTGATTGATTAGGTAATCTTTTTTTGGTTAGTAGAAATTGCGCAAAGTTTGAAAGTTTTTTAAACTAAGCAATTATATATTTAGCACAAAAAAACTCTCAAAATATACTTTCAATTAATGGGGATATAAGCTTACTGTTTAAATATTCAAATATTATTTTTCTCGAATTCAATTATAATTTATTAAAGTTTTCTCAATATCAAATATATCTGATCTAACTTTTCATTATTTTATTCACTTTCATTGATCTGGTTTAATTTTAATCTTTCACTGAATTTATTCATGAACCGGAGTATTATTTCACATATGTTGTAAAAGAAAACGAATCTTTAGAAATAAGAAATATAAAGATTTCGCGAATACAGTATGTTAATGTATAACTTTATCGTATATACGAATAATTAATTTAACTTAAATTAAATTCAATTTATCTATTAATTTCAATTTGATAAACGTTATGAGATTTCGTATGCTATTTATGATTTTTATTTATTATATTTAATTTCAGATTGAAAATGGCTAATGATAGTTATGATAATCATAGGCAATCGGAGAACATGAATGGTAAGATAAATTCTATATAACAGTATTATGTTGAAGACTACAGTACAATTTCATGTTTTTGCTAATTATTAATTTAACTAGTATGAGTGAACTGTTGTACTTCTTTTAACCTTTAACTTTTATTGTGTAGTTAACTTTGCATAATAAAATATATCTGCGAATAATTCAGAAAATGATGAAGAGAAAGTGGAACAATTGCTTAAAAAACTGTTCGACCAACCCTTTCATCGTAAAACTCAAGGATCTGCCAAATTCAGTGAAATGCATATGAAACGTGTAAGCATCTCATATTTTCTTCAAATTTGAAATCATAAAATCGAAGTTAGTTTTTCTTTTTTTTTTTTTTTAATTTAAAAAATTTCAGAAGAATAAAACTATTTTATTAATTGTTGTAAATAAATATGACTTATTAAAATTTTCAAAAAATGCTAATAAACCAGACAGTTTATCCATAAATAAAAGAAATATAAATTTTTATAAAAGTGCAAAAATCACGGTATTACAGTATCCCATTGATGTAGCTTACTGTATATTGTGATCCTACTGTATATGTAGACGACTTTTCCGAAAAGAATTCTGAAATGCTATATTATAGATTAAATTATTCCATTTACCATATCGATAGATTAATCTATGTGAAGATCTAATATTCTAGCTTAATCTTAAAAATATTGGCTTGACGATAGACAATGATGTGATGCTTTTGCAGAGTTTGTTACATACATTGAAAGCCTTGGGTTATACGATTGATGAAGCGGATATTGGACAAATGGTTGATGTGGGTCTTGAAGTTTTGGCACAAACTTGGCGACGGAAAGATGCTGATTCTGAAATTGCTTTTCAGGTAATAAATTTGATCCATTAAATTTGAAAATGAAATAAATTATATTTGCTTTCCAGGGTTTACTAACAATACTTGAATACTGCCTCAATCGTTCAGCAGCAGGTTATTCATCCTTTGAGCAATTCATCAATGCTCTTGGTTATAATGCAGTACAGTTTTGGCGTTATGCAGTACCGTACATTTATGATTCCGATTTAACTTACGGTACCAAATTTCGTGATTCACTGTTGTTTGGCTTAACGCTATATGATATTAATAATGGAAAAAGTAAACTCAGGTTTGCCAAATTCAACTCTTTACTAATAAAAAATTTTTACAATAAAATAAATATAAATAATTTTAGTAATAGTTTTGTATGTTAGGTGAACTTGATAATTATATGGGTGCAACTTTGACTTCATGTTTACATCATCTCATCTAAAACTTTTCAAATTTCGAAATTACTTATAATGTTATAATCATTATTAGTTATTATTATTCATTTGTTATCAACTATTATTTTTTATTACTTCTAATAATTGTCATTGTTATCAATCTTTGTTACTAATTATAATTTATAATGTTAATCTAATCATAATAATGATCGAATCTTGCTACTTCTATTCTACCATCTTTATCATTCTTCCATCATTTTTGTAATTTCCTAAAATTGCACTTACCTATCATTTTCAGGGAGCTATACAATTCAGTGCCAGGTGTTCGTAAATCTTTACTTGGCGTTCATGCAAAACGTTTTGGTGAACGATTCCATCATTTGCAACGACGATTAAGTATTAGTCGAGAAGGTTCATCACGATCGAGCATCTCTTCTTCCACCGAGTCAATCTCTTCTCAATCCAGTAATAAAAGTGCTAACAGCTTAGCTGCCTATCGTTCACGAACTGTCTCACGTAGTTTGTTTTTGTTTTTTTTTTCTGAAAAATTTTATAAATATTTCTTATAAACTTCATTCTTCCTTACAATTATATTATTTTCCATTTTTATGTATTCATCGGCGATTTTTTCTTTGATTTAATTGCTTTATTAAACATCATTTTAGTTAATTTGCTGTTTCAGTTCATTAATTTTATATTTTGATCAGTTAGTCTTTGATCAATTAATCAATCAATTATTTTTTTGATTTTTTCTTTGTCAGTTATTTTTGATTTCTTTGGTTATATATTGCTTTGACCGAAAAATTTACTTTTTTCACTAATTTCAAATTCATTATTATTATTTTTTTAAAAGAATTTCTTCTTCTACTCTTTTAAATTAATCTGTAAATGCAAATTCCTTAGCGGAAAAATCACGAAGATCACGTCGATCAATTTCACGTGGTGCATCAGAGAGTAGCGTAAATTCACGAGAACTGTCAAAAGAAGTAATTGCAAGTGGAGGCTTGGCTAACACACATTTTCAAGTATTATTTTTAAAAGTCGTTTTCTAGCTAATAGAAACTAAAAAGTTCTCTGAAAAAAAAGACATTTTTTATCTAACTATTCAATTTGTATTACATTTGAAATTTGAAGGAAAATTTCATCATTTTTTTCAACATCTTTCAGTTCAATATGAACTTCTTATTCTTTGTGTAAAACATTAATTTCGTGCACTATTTTCAAATTTATATTTTTCAGCAACGTGTAATCAACGTTTCTAATGCACCACCGGTTAGCTTGAAAAGGGAAAAAACAGGTGAATGGGAAATTAAACAAGGATCTGGTGGTCTAGTTTCAGCGGTAGATCCTGTAATGTCAAAAGATAAGGAAAATGTTTGGCTTGCTAATCTTGGAATGAATTTGCATAAAAAACCAAAGTAAGTAATTTTTTATAAATGCTTTCTATATTAGTAAAATTTTAACTTTTAAATTGCTAGAAATAAGGAACCGGTTAAACTTTTACATTTAATTGCGAGTGAATACTGTTAAAGTCAAATTAGATTTCAGATCAAACTTAAATTTTACCTTACTTTAAGTTTTATTTTTATAATGATTTTCTTTTATCCCATCCTACCATCGATGCAATAAATAAATAATGACTTGTCACTTTCATAGAACTGAATTGATATATTTATGAGTATCTCAAATTCTTGATATAAGTTGAGCAGAAATAACTTGTCCTGGTCATTCTTCATTTGATTTTAATTTTCAGTTTTGATCATTTATATTCCCCTAAAACCCAAATAAAATATACTAAATAAATTAAATAAAAAGACAAAAATAATGGGATATTTATTAGCAGTGAAATGAAACATTAGAGCTTTTTTTTTTTTTTTTTTTAAAAAAAAAAGGACGAATAAAGCAAAGAAAAAACCAGGCATAACAATTGGCATTTTAAATTTGAAATGATAATAAACATTTTTTTAAATAGAAAAAATGAAAATTCCACTTCACAGTTTTAAAATTTATGATTTTGCAGAAAAAGTAGAGATCATGGCAATCAGAATATACAGCCAACAACAAATACGCTAGGTAAATTTGATGCAAATTATAGAAATAGGGTTTTGATCAACTTTAAATTTATTCAAATGTTTTTCTTTTTTCTTTACTGCTTGATGTTATTTAATAAATCATTTCATTTCGGCTAATAAAACTAATTTGTAAATTTTAGATAATAAATTAAATGCTTATAGGATTACCATTATTGAAACAAGCAAATGCTGATGTTCTTTTTCATGTGCTCACCGATGAGCGAAATAGTAAAGAGCAAGATACTCAACATGTCAGGTAACGAAAAGATGGACAATTTCTAAAATTGAAGTTGATTTAAAATTTGAGAAAAGGAACAAAAAAAAAAATTTATATTTTTATAAGATAAAAAAAAAAAAAAAAAAGGTAAAATAAGTGAAAGAAAACAACAATAATATACAAATGAATGAGAAGCATGAAGGAAAAATGTATCAAATAAAATAAATTACAAAATAATAATTAAAAAATAACTTGCTTCAATGATGAAATTTTTTTGAAAGTGTAAAAATTTTAAAATAAAATAAGCAATATTAGTTAATATTTATTTTTAAATAAGAGGAATTTAAAAAGATGAATGGTTATTGATTAAAAGATTTATTCTTGACTGTTTATTAATTAGAATTTGTGAATGGTTATTAATTAAAATTCATTGTAATAGTAATTAAGATTTATTCTTAAATAAGGAGAAGTTAAAAATGAAAAGATGAATGATATTTGAGGGAAGAAATGTCATTATTGGGTGTGTTGCATAATTATAATCGTGGTAATTACAAATTAAATCCTGTAATTGTCCAAGAAGATGACTATAACGTATACTACGGTGGTATAAGTAATGGCTTATTATGGCCTGCTTTGCATAATTTGGAAGAATTTATTGTAAAAGAATATGATGAACCAAAGGTATTTTATAATATAAATGTAAAATTTTGCATTAGGGTCAAAGTTAAAGTAATATTTATTTATGGAATTATTTAATGATTAATATTATAAAAACAATTACATGCAGAGATGATAAATAACTCATAGAATTAGGTTGAATTTTCTTTTTGATGATAAATCTTTTTTTTTTAAAGGTTAAATTTAAAAATTTTTGATTGGACTGAAAAATTGATTTTATTTATTTCTAAATGAAAATAAAAAAAAAAAAAAATGAAACTGTTGAAAGTGTTCTTTTCAAATGAAAGCAAAAAAATTGAAATTATTAAAGGTTATGCGTGAACATTGGTATGCATATGTTCGAGTAAATTATCAATTTGCTATCGATGCTGTTCGAAATAGTCGACCGCAGGTATATGCTTAATAAAATTATAAATTAATCAAATTTTTTAAGAAAAATTTAATAAAAATGAAAAGTACTGAACAGGTATTTAATTAATGGTAATTAAATTGAATTTAGTTAAATTGGTCTTAAATGAATTAGCTAATGTTTAATATGTTTGCTAAATTTTGGAAAAAAAAAATTTAATTTAATTTTTTTACAAAGCATATTTCTTTTTCTCAAATTTAATTTGTTGAATTTTTTATTGGATTATTTTTTAGAAAGATTGTTGATAGTAGTACCTACCAAATTCATTTTTAATTATCTTTTTAATAACCCTCATATAATGATTTATAAAAGTATTGCTATATAAATTTGCAGTTTCTTTTTTTTTCTTTTGAAATAAAATTTCTTAAATTTACATAACAACTAAAAATTTCAAATTGTCTAACCTCTAAAATTTTTTTTTCAAATTGTCTAAAGAAAATTGTTTAAATGTAAATATTAATTTTAGTTAAAAATTATCGTTGTCTTTTTTTTTCTCGAAAAATGTGAAAATGATTAAGGATTAACAGATGTTACTGGAAAATTATTTATTAACAATGACTGAATTAAAAAAAAAAAATGTGATGATTATGAATGTTTTTTTTTTTTTTTTTTAATATTTGTTCTCTGAATAAATTCATTTTCCTAAAAGCAATCAAAATTTCTGAGTGATATTTTACGTAATCTATAATCAAACCGAAACCGAAAATAAGATAAAATACTCAAGTTTTTATTCGGTCATTATAAATTGCAATCACTAAGTACCAAATAATTTTTAATCCTTATTATTTAGCAAAATTATTAAAATTATTTTCTCAAACTTAAATTTCTAGGATTTCATTTGGATCCATGATTATCACTTGATGTTAACCGGAATGATTATGCAAAGTTTGGATGAAAATCTCGAAGTAAACATTTTTCTTCTCTTTTATTTCTTTTTCTTTCTAATTTAAATAATATATACATTTACTTATATGTCTTTGATAGAGTATAATTGACGTAAGAAATATTTGGTTATTATAATTGCTAAATTGCTAATCAAATTAGTTGAAGCATTTAAATATAATTTTTTGTTGAAATATTATTTTAATCAAAACTAATCCATTCTATCACTTTTTATTATTTTTATTGTTCACTTTAAATGTTTTATTTTTATTTCATATATTAATATATTTATTTAATAATTATTTCCGGTTGGCTTCTTCCTGCACATACCATTTCAACCACCGGAAAATTTTTTCACTAAATATGCTCTAATTGGTTTTGCCGTTTTACGAGGCTTATTACGATTTAGCAAGGTGCATTTATTCCGAATTTATTCAACAAAATTAAATTTAAAAATTTAGTCTTTTGTCGTAAAAGGTTTTATGTAGATGCTATTAAAGTTAATATTCCATAATTATCAAACAATTTTACACATTTTGCTCTTTTCTCTGTTATAATTATCTATGATAACAATCTGTGATAACAATTATTATTAAGGTTGGATTTCAAACTCATCGTGATCGTGATAAATTGGTTGAATTATGTCGTCTTCAATTACCAAGTGCTGAAATTAATTATGAAAGCTCATGTGATGTATTCTTTGTAACATACAAGGGATGGACTTGTTCACTTGGAGTTTTTCCGGTTTCGATTAAAAATGAAGACTTTTTAAAATTTGTTCGATTAACTGAAACATGCCAACGAGCATTAGAAATACGAAAACATGTAATAATTAATTTTTATCTTGATTAGAATATAAAAAAAAATCATTTTTTACAGTATATTTTTTGCAATTTTTTTTTTTCTTTTCCTAAATATTTACTTTTGAAGAATTTTTTTTCAAATATACGGAAATTATTAGTTTAGCAAATTTTTTTGTATGTTATAAAAGAGAGAGAGAGAGAGAGAGAGAGAGAATGAGTAAAGGATAATATATTTGAAAATTTACTAAAGATTATGGGATCAAATGCTCCACCAGATGGTCGATTATTTTTCTCTGTTGAACGATTCGATTATACAAAAGGAATTAAAGAGAAATTATTGGCATATAAGAATTATTTTGAAAAATATCCGGAACGAATTGGAAAAGATGTATTGTATCAGGTATGCAAAAAATAATTGTTGTGTAACCGGAATATTACACGTTAGATTAATTTTTTTAGTGCATTACTTTTTCAAATCGGAACGAATTTTTTTTGTTCTTTAAATAAATATTAGTTAAAAAAAAAATTCTGAAATTTAAGATTTAGCAGTATATTGGAAAAAAAAAATTGATGAAAAATTGCGAGATGATTATGATTTAGGGTAAAAATTAAGTTTTAAAATTGGATTTTCCTAGAACGAATTTTTGTCCTCTTAATAGATTTTGGTTTAAAAAAAAAAAAAAAAAAAAGAACTTAAAGAAATTAAGATTATTAAGGTAAATTTTAACAATATATCGAAAAGAAAATAGTAAAAAATTAGCGGGCTGGTTATGATTTAAAGTAAAAATTAAATTTCAAAATTTCAATCATTTTAAATCTAGGTTGCTGTAACAAATAGACGTGCTGTTGATACCTATCGTGTTTATCAAGATGAATGTATTCTATTAGCTGAAGGTATCAATAAAGTATGTACCTGTCCAACTCGACCTAATTGGAAACCATTAATTTTTCAAACAGAAGGATTACCACGAAAAGAACTTATTGCTTGTTATTTAGCAATGGATATTGGTGTTGTAACACCAAAAAAAGATGGCATGAATTTGGTTAGAAGAAGAAACTTATTTCTTTTTACATAATTTGATTTAAATTTAAATGATTATTTGAAGTTCAAAAATTTTTATTAATAATTTAATACTAATTTTTGATTAAAACTCTTCATTGCATCCCTTGTTATTGTTTATTTATAATTTTGTAATACCTAAGATTTCGTATCATTTCCAAAAAATAAAATAGAATAATAATTTTTAACTTTAAGAATAAATTAGTTTAAAATAAAATAGTTTGTAATTAAAAAAAAAAACTTGAGGTAGCAAATAAATAAATGAGTAAATAAATAAAGTAAAAGTTTTTTAATTTTGAAGAACAAAAAAAAAAATGCTGAATTAAACAAAAAAGAAAACATTAAATTGAAAATATCAATTTTTAAGGTTGCAAAAGAAATGCTCTTATGTAATCCGAATGCTGGATTAATTCTATCATCAGGTGCCGGTAGTGAAGTACAATTTTCGTCAGCCGGATTTTATCAGGAAAATGGTGATCAATGTTATAAACGAATAACAAATTTGTATGATTTGGATAGCTATTCAGATGCATTTTATCAAGCTGCTATTCAAGATTTATCAGATCGTCGAACTAATGGTTATCGATTGCATAATTTTATCTTATCCAATGATATTGAAAAATGGAGTGCAGCTTTCTTAGATCCATCTTGGACACATCAAGTGATAAGATCAGTCGAAGTATAATTGCATTTTCAGTTTTCCCTTTTTTTTTTTGTTTTTTCTTTTAAGATTTATTTATTTCAAAAAAAAAAAAAAAAAAAAGATATTGTTTCAGTTCAATTTGCATCATCCGAAAATTTTATCATCACTTTAAAGATTATAAAACTTTCTTAAATTAATACTGAAAAAGAAAGTCTAGATTACACGAAATTTACTAAATTTAGAAATTTAGAAATCAAAATGTAAATCATATATATGTATATAATTACAAATATTAAATCAAAAATTATAAAAATAGGTGAAAACATTGGAAGATTTCTATACAATTATGCTACAAACACGTAACGTTAGACGTCAAATTGTGGAACGTGTCCTAAAAGGTATTCCAATGCGTAATCATTTTGCTATTTCACTAAAAAATGCTTTCGATTCACTGGCACGAAGTTGTGAAGCAAATACAACAATTCTTAATCTAAAGACAGCATCAGACGAAAGTATTACGGATTATGCTAGTTTTGATATCAAAAATGAATTGGATGAATTTGAAAAAGATTTATGCTTTTTAAAATTTATCGAAAGTGATAATGTTTACAATGTGGAGCAATTCGTTGATGTTAGTTTATTTTTATTATATTCATTATTATTATTATTATTATTATTATTACTATTATTATTTTTAATCTCATAATAAATTTAAAAAAAAAAGGAAAAGTTTAAAAGATCGGTGAAAAATTATAAAAGATAAAAATCTTTAAAAAGGAAAAAGTAGAAAAACTGTAGACCATAAAAAAAATTGAGGGTAAAATTTTTCACTTATTTTTCTTTTTCTTTTTGTTTAGTTAAATTTTAAAAGATTTTTCTCTTATTATTGAAATTTTTTAAAAGAAAAATTACAAAAGTAAAGAGTGAATAAATTTGTAATTAATTGATTATAATTGCAGACATTACATGCTTATCATCCTAAATCATCACTAGCATTTAAAGAAGAAGTAGCAGGTGCTGTTGGTCTTCTATATGACGCAGATCATTTTCAATATTTCTTTACGGATCGTGATGGCACTTTAAAATCATATTCTTGTAGTTATCAAGCTAGTATACAACCAGCTTATTCTGCTGTTATTCAGGTTTAAATATAAAATTAAAGTATTACTTTATCATTAAAGTAATTTCACTACAATAGATTATATATTTTAATGATAAGAAAAAAAAAAAGACGATTACTTAACTTATTCTTACAATAATTTTAATATCTTTTATTTAAAAATTATTTTAAAAATGTATGAAAAAATACAATGCCAGTTACTCATACAAATTATATAAAAGTTTATTAAATTTTTCAAAAATATGAAACAATTAATGAGATTAAATTATAGTTTTTTTTTTTTTTTTTTTTTAATGAGATTAAATTATAATAAATGTTCATAATTTTTAATGCATATTTGTAATTTTAACATCTATACTTTAACTATTATATGACATGAAATGAAACATACGAATTTTTATAGATATACTTTATATTCATATCAAATTTTCTTGGAATATAAATTTTATGCCTTGTTAAATTTCTGTTTTCATCTCATCTTTTCTCTTTTTTTTTGCAACTTGAATAAATTTCTCATTTCTAACTTTAGGAAAAATATCATCCTTTTGCATTGAAATAAATTCTTAATTAATTTAAAAATTTTTATTTTAAATAATTTTAGGCTCAATTTGCTAGACGTTGCGCTCAGACATGCGCAATTATCACGACATCACCTTTAATGGGTGTTGGTATATTGGATGTAAGTACAATGCCTGAAGGTATGCATAGATTAAAATATAAAATCACAACAAATATTAATTACTGCATAAGATTAAATAATCCTATTTTAAAAATTCAGAATTTGAAAAGTTTATTTAATTAAAATTTTTTTTCAAACTAATTTGTAAAAATCAAATTTTTTAAGGTAAGAGAAAAAATCTTTAAATTTAGGTTATTACTATTATGGTGCTTCTGCTGGACGAGAATGGTTCATTGATCCACGGAATAAATTTCATGATCGTAGTATAACTGCTGAACAATTAAAATTTCTTGATAAGGTATATTTTACAATACTTTTTTTTTCTTTCAATCTAATTTATAAAATTTAAATTTTCAAAACTAGAAATCTTTAAATGATATAAATCATATTATATCATTAGTAATTTATATGTAAAATGCTTCAAAATTTTTCATTATCCATTAAATGATAACAAAACATTATCATCTAAATGATAATCAATTATTTTTTTTTTTTTTTTTTAGGTATATGACACTATACAGGAACTTTTAAATACCCAAGAGTATAAGTATTTTAAGTGTGTTGGATCAGGCTTACAAAAGCATTATGGTCATTTAACTATTGCTCATCAAGATATTTATAATTCAGTACCAATTGAACAATCAAAAATGCTGTTTGCTTTTTGTTTTTGTTTTTTTTGTTTTTTTTGTTTTTTGGACTTATTGTTTTGAAATTAAAAGCACAAAAAAGAGAAGGAAAAGATTAATTTTTATTTGTTGAAAATATTTTAAAATATACAAAAATGAACTGAAATCATTTAAAAATAGAATAAAGTTTGATGGTGAAAACATCTTTTTTTTTTTAAAATTTTATTAACCATTAATTTTAAGTCTAAAGAAAATTAATGAAATTGTGAATGAGATAGATGGAATGCGACGAACATTGGTTGTAAATGAAGGAAGCACTGATGTAAAAATATTTCTAAAGGTTTGCTTTAAACAAAAAAAAAAAAAAAAAAAAAAAAATAATAGTAATAATTGAATTAAAATAATATTAGTTATAGCTTAATATGAATTTTGTGAATTTTCAAGATTTTTATTCATTTTAGATTGTTAATCGATTTTTTTTTTTTTTTTTTTTTTTTTAATAATTGATATTCATGAATTATAATGAAAGAAAAAGTGCTACATACTGATTAAAAATTATGCGAAAAAATATGCTATCTTATCATTTAGTTTAATTAATTAAAATTCTTGTTACAAATTAATAAAATGCAAGTAATTAAAATAATTTTCGTTTTTCTTCAAAAAATTTATTATTATTATAAAAATTAGAAAAGTAATAAAGCATAGGTTTTTTTTTTTTTATTATTATTTTGGATTATAATTTTATTTTATTTTATCATTTTTAGAATTCAGATGGAGTAGTTTTCAATAAAGGTCATGGTATTGCATTACTGGTCGAACAAACTCGTTGTAAATTATCCGATGGTAATATTTTGGTATGCGGTGATAGTGAATCGGATTTACCGATGGTAGAAGTATGTTTAGGACGTAATCCACATAATGTTTATACTATTTGGGTTACTGAACGAGAAGATTTAAAAGAAAAGGTTAGAATTTATGAAATGTAATTCATATCATTTCTCTTTTTTGTAGTATTATTATTTTTTACAGAAACAATAAAATACTTTTTGATCTTTTGAAAAAAAAAAAAGAACTTTGCTTTGCTATTTTTTTTTTTTTTTTGCATAAATAAAAAGAATTTTTTTGAAAAACTTTGAAAAACTTGGCTATTTTTTGCATAAATAAAAGGATTTTTTTTTTTTTTTCTGGGAAGCAACTATATTTTAATTTAGTTTAATAAATTTTTTATCATTCTCATCAAAATTTTTTATCAATTTTTTTCATAATTTTTATTAGATATATGGATATAATTCATATCTTTTTTTTTTTTATATATTACAATTATTCTACAAAAAAAACATATCAAACATTCTTTGATATTTTGAGAAAATTTTTCATAAAAATAATTATTATTTCAATAAAACTTTACTAGCATAAATACAAGAATTTTTTTTTTTTTTGAAAAATTAGCCATATTTTAATTTAATTTAATAAATTATTTTTTTATTAAATTGGTAAACAAAATTATTGCTATGCTCTTTTTAAAAATGATATCATAAGAAAATTTTTGTATGAATTGCAATAATTAAAATATATTATGGTTATATTGCAATACAAAAAAAGAAAAGATTTCTCATTTTCTATATTTTGTCTTATTTTATATCAGATTTACTGCTAATGGTTTTCTTTGTTTACCTGTTACAGGTAATGTCATTATGTGGTCGATACGGGAATAAAAATGTAGCATTTGTATCGTGTCCCGAAGTGTTATTAGGTGCAATGGCTCAAGCAACAATACGTGAAATTAGCATTATCAGGCCACGACATAAGCTATTACGTAAAAGCATATAATTTCCAAATGAAATTTTATACTTTCATCATTTTTTAGTGCAAATATTTCATTGAAATTAGAATGAAAAAAAAAAAAAAAAGAAACACTAAAATATCATTCATATTTTTCAAAAAAAAAAAATAAATTTATTTTGTTTTTATTCCTTTTTTTTTTTTTAAATTAAAACAAACAAAATATTACTCAGAAAATATGTAAATGAAATTGATGTTAATTATTAATTTATACATATATATCACATCTATAAATGTTATAATTCGCATATTGGTTAATAATTTTGCTATTTGCTAAATGAAATGAACTTTCTCATATGCTTGCATGCTATAAATGACTTTTATAAGTCATCATTAGGATTAATTATATTTTTGATTCAATATTTGATGTATTATTGATGTGAATAAATTATCAAAATGACATACACTCTTATAATGCAGTGATATTAATTATGTCACTTTGATTCATTGTTTTTTTATCTGGTCTATGCTTAACAAAGTTCGTAATTAAATTAATATGGCATTCAGTATAATAATGTAAGCAAAACAAAACAAAAAAAAAAAAATAAGACAAAAAGGGAATATTGAAATTTGCCCAATATTACAGCTTCAAGATTACCCAGTATTCCAGGTTTGTTTACTTATCCAGTATTCCAGGTTTGTTTATTTCACTGCCATTTTCCTTTCTTTCCTTTTTTTTTTTTTTTTTTGAAAGATTCCAGTAATTTACAATTTGTAGTATTTGATGAAAACTAATTCGCATGAAAATATACTGCAAAAAATATTTATTGCAATCAACAATTACAATAAACTATTTATGATTATTATATCATCAATAATAGCTTATAATTTTTATGGAAAAGTTTGGTTCAATATTTCACAAAAAAGTATATATATTTGTTAATTTTTAAAGCAATGAAAACTTCACTTTTATACTTACTTCATACAATGTCAGAAAAGGAAAAAAAAAATAAAAAAGAAATATAAAAATGATTTCAAATGAATAAAATGGAATGCTATAAATAATGAAATAAAGATGAAATTGTAATTTAACATTTATTTTAATTCATTTTAGTAACTGATCAACTTTCTCATAATAATTGTTGGAATAAAAATTGATAAAAAGTTATAATTCTTCAATTTATCAATGAATTTTTATTTTTATCACCAAAAGATTCGCAGCAATCAATGTAATTTGAAATTATTTTGATAATTATAAAAATTTGGGCTCAAAAAAAAAAGCGAAAAAAATAAAAACTGAAAAAAAAAAAATGAAACAAACATTATTTACATTAGAATATAGTAATTGGCCAAAAAAACATTGCAATTAAGGAAGATAAGAATTAAAGTAATGAAAAGAACAAAATAGAAATCATTTAATATAGCGTACGTAAGTATATTTATTACAGCGTGCGTGAAAAAAAAGACACGTAACCTAAATAATATGATAAAGTACAGTTAATAATATTTAATGGATAACACTGTATTGTATGATATTAAGAAAAAAAAAATTTTTATTAAAATTCTCAACGATTTTTGTTAGTCAATTTTAATTAAATGAATTTTAATTAATTGAATTAATATAATTGAAGTAAAAAAAGTAATAAATGTATTGACGCTCTCCTTTTTTTTTTTTTTTTGAAATATAGATATAATTGTTTTTACAAGTACCACGTATTAAAGTTAAGTTAAAGTATTGAAGTTCAATTAAATTAATTTTTTTGGACTGTTTTTCTTAAATAGCAGAGCTTAGGAAAGAAAAATTAAGAGTTATTTATAAATGAAAAACTGCAGTTTTATTTACATATAAATAGAAAGTAAATTTTAGCTAATTCTTTCTTTTCTTTCATTTTTATTGAAAAAGATTTATTTATTATTGCTAAATAAATTTATTTAAAATAAAACAATGAAAAAACAAATTTTTCTTTTTGTTCAGATTGAAATAATTTAAAGTTTTAAAAAGAAAAATAAATAGTATTATATACAAATATTAAAAAAGTTTTTTTTAAACAAGAAAATATGAAACAAAAAAAAAAAAAATATATTATTGAACAGAAAAGAAAATTATTTTATTCAGTTAGTTTTAAAATTTTAATTCAATAAATTTTATGCAAAAAAAAGTAGCATAGCATAAATAGTTAATTTTAAATGTAAATTAAATATTAACAATGAAATATAATAGTTTGTGCTTATCTATTCTAATGCTAATTTATTGTATTAACATGAAAATTTATTCAAAATCATCCTTTTGTTTGTTTGTTTGTTTGTTTTTTTAAATAGTAAAATAACTTTCCTATTATTTTAATTATCAAAATTTTACATTTGAAAGATGAAAATGAAAAACAAAAAATTTTATTTAAAATATAAATGTTATCATTTCTTAGAATGATATATTCCTGTCTTAGCTAATTACTTTTTAAGCTAATTTAAATTTTGCAATCAATTCAATTACTAATTTCATTTACCTAACTTTTTTTTAGAAAAAAGAAAGATCATAAAGGTAGATTAATAAGATATCAAGAAAAAAAAAATTAAAAAACAAGTTTTAATTTCATAATTGAATTTAGTACACGACGACTTGTTCCAGCCCTATGTGCTATAGCAATTCGAATTGCTGCATCAAATACTTGCCGAATACCCTGGAAATTTTTTAAATAAAATTAATTTTTAATTAATCTAGATATCATAGATTAATTGTAATTAATCTCTTAAATACAAATGGTATAGTAATAGTTTAATTAATGATAAATGATTAGATGAAAATGATAAATGATAATGCATCAATGATCAATTTGATCATTTGAATCAAAGAATACTTACACTTGTAGAAAATTTCGATTAGCACTAAAATTCAGCAATGATTAATTAATCATTATGTAATAGCTAATTTATTATTATTATTTATTATTATTTCATTGATTATAACAGTATAAATAATTTATATAAAATATTGCAAATATTAATTTCATCTTAATATAACATTTTTCATATAAATATTTTTGTTTAAAGAAAAAGAAGCTTAATTTTATTCATTTTATTCATTTTTTAAATTCTAGTTAAAAAGATCATAAATATTTCAATTATTATCAATCACTATTACAAGAGACAGAGAAAGAAAAAAAAAAAGCAACAAATAAAATGAAAATATCTCCTTCATAATTTATCAATTATTCATTTCATTTTTAAAGTTTAAATTTCATGAAGAAAAAAAAATAAATAAATAAACAAAATTTTAACCACTAACTTCTTTTGTTTTTGCCGAACATTCAATTACTTGATGAGCGGAAAATTCTTTAGCGTATGCAATTGCATCATCAAAATTTACAAATTGTTTATGTTGCATGAAATTTTCATTGTTACATTCTTTTTGCATTTCTCTTCCATTTTCATTTCGTATATCTTTTTTATTTCCAACTATTAATATTGGAACATCTGGGCAAAAACGTCGTATCTAAAAAAAAAAAAAAGAAAATAAAATTACATAAATGCTACATTTTTTTATTTAATTTTAAAATTTTAACAAAAAAAAAAAAAAGATTTTTTTTTCTTTTTAAAATTAAGATTTAATTATTTAAATATATGAGGCAAAAAAAAAAAAAAAAAAAAAAAAGGAAAAGAATTGAAAATTTAACAAAACCTCAGGTATCCATTTTTCCGCAACACTTTTTAATGATTCTGGCCTTTCTACGGAATAGCATACAATGAAGAGATCAGCATCCGGATAGCTCAGTGGTCGTAGAGTGTTGTAATCATCTTCACCGGCTGTATCACATACGGTTAATACTTTCTATAATTTTATCATTATCATTATCACTATTATTACTATTAATATTATCATCAATATTATTATTGCATTATTATTACTTTTTCATTTAAGTTTATCATTTTAAAATGAAATGTAAATTAATTTATTAATTTAAATTTTATAAAAAAAAAAAATTTTAAATAATATTTTAAAATGCTTTGAAAAATTCGACAAAAAAAAGAAGAAAAACATAAATTTTATTCAATGCCTAAAAATTTTAATTGACGATTTTTTCTTTTCCTTTTTTTTTTTTTTTTGAAAAATTTATAAAATTTGAAATAGATTTTTTTCTCTAATTCCTTTCAATAAAAATTTTAGTTAAAATCATATTAGTTAATTGATAATATGTCACAATAAAACTGTTATCACAAAAAGACAATTAGAAGATAACATTTAATAAAAAAAAAAACAACAACGAACATATTAAATTTGTAGCAAAAAAAATTTCTTTGATATTTTTAATTTTAAATTTTAAAAAATTCCTTATTCAAATCTAATCAATTTCACATAATTGAATTTATATACCTACATATATTTTTTGCCCAAAATAAACGAAAGTTAAATGATACAAAAAAATTTAATGTAAATTTTTTTTTTTTTTTTTGGGCGAAATACTAATATATAACAGTAAAATTGACAAATACTTTTTCCATTTACAGGTGTTTCAATTTAAATCCAATCAATTTCAAATAATTCAATATATATGTTTCTCCCTTCCCCCAGACCAAAGAAAAAATAAAAAATTAAGTCATATGAAAAATTTTCATGTAAATAATTAATTAACTAATTTTTTTTTTTGGACTAATTACTAATATGTGACAATGACAATGACAATTGCAGTGACACATACCGTCTTTCCATTTACAAGCGCTTCAATTGCATAATCATCAAAAGCTGTCGGCGTATATTGTTCAATGAATTCACCGCCAGCTTGAGCAAGAATTAAGCTTGTTTTACCGCATGCGCCATCACCAACAACAACAAATTTGAGTTGTTTACGGGTCATTGAACGTTTGCTACAAAAATTGCAGCAACCGCAGCAGTTCAAATATTTCGACTCAATTTTTGGATGATAATTTTTGGAATTGGAAGAAATAAAAAATAAACAATGAAAATAAAGCAAAGACAAAAAAGTGAAAAATAATTATGTCTTTTTGTTTTTTAAATCAACAGATTTAATTAATAGTAATAGTTCAAATATGATAGTAAATGTTAGAGGAATAATTCATTCATAGATTGTCGACGATGATTTCATTGATTACTAAATTTAAATATTTGATTAATTTCAAACAATTAATTGATTAATATAAACGTAGAGAAAGAAATAATACGATAAAAAGTTGTTTGAAAAATAATGTATGAAATTTAATTTGAATTTGAAAGTTATTCCAGTGGAATGGTTTAGAATATCATAAATATAATATATTATCAACATTTCGTATAATTAACTTAAAAATTTTTTAAATTAACTATGTATAATTAGTTAGATTATTCATTAATTAATGAGATATAACTTGAGCATAAAAGAATTATTTTTATTGAAAAATTTTTTAGACATTATACACATGAATAAATTAAAATATTATTAACAAAACTGAATAAACAAAAAAAAAAAAAAAAAAATTTTTTTTCGGAAGAAAATTATGCAATGAAAATGTACCAGAAATTACGAAAAATTAAGTTAGCATAAAAATTGATGAAAAAGTTTCTGAAAATTGCTTCAGAAAAATTTAATTTTAAATACTCAAAAACAGAAAGATGAGTTAAGCAATCTTTGATTAACAATATAACTTAATTATACGCAAAAAATAATTTTTCCCTTTTTTGTTAAGTAAAAAAAAAAAAGAATAAAAGAGAATTTTGATAAGTAAAAAGCAAAAAAACAGTTGTTAAACTTTTTAATTTAAATAATACAAAAATTTTCATATCATCAAATTTGCTTAAGTTATAATTAATAAAAATGAAATAAATCTAAATATACAAATGCATTTAACTAATATCATTGAAATTGCTTTCAAATTAATTTTTATTCATTAATTTTCATTTTTTCATTTTTTTAAAACAAATTATTTTACAGAAAAAACGATTGAAATAAACCAACCATTAAATAGATTTGCTAAAAATTTTTATATTTCAAAAAAAAATTTTTTTTTCAAATTGTTATATAAGTTTCCAATTTTATAGAGTAAAGATATGATAGAGAATTTATTATAGTAATAATATATATAAATTTTATTCATAGCATCGATTTCATTCAAATATGTTAAAAATGTAATTTTAAGCTAGAATAATATCTAAAAATAGCTTTCAGAATTTATTGAAATAATTTCAATATAAAATCAATTTGTTGTATTACTATTTAAAATACTTCCTAAACTATCGCATCGTTCCTCTAAACTTTGTTCATTTAAACGAAAAAATGAGAAGGAAAAATATTTACATTGTAAGTGAATAACATTTGAATGCTTTACAGATCTAATTTCAACTAAATAATTTTCTTTTTCATTTCTGTTTCTTTCTCCTAAACCATACGTTTATTTATTTATTTTTTCCACTAAGAATTTAATGAAATTTAAAGTGAATACTAAAATGAGCATATTTCATTCAAAATTTTCATTGTTTTTTCCATTTTATTTATTTATTTATTTATTTATTTATTTATTTTTTGATTATTATAATTCATTTGCAGCAAACAAAAAAAACACCAAAAAAAATTATTTGTATTAAATAATAAATTAATTACTGGATAGCAATTAATTATGATTAATTAACAAGAAAGTCAATTAATTATATAAAAAGATTTCGAATGATTGCTAAATTTCATAGTTTTTTTTAAAATGAATTGCTCGTAACATGTAGAAATATGTAGAGATATATTATTATTTTACGTCAATTTAACGTGGAAATATTCGGAATATTCTACTCGAGTAACTGTTAAATTTCATAAGTTTTTTTAACGGATTGCTCGTAGCACGTAGAGATATGCACGTTTATTATTATTTTACGTCAATTTGACGTGGAAATATTCGGAATATTCTACTCGAGTAACTGTTAAATTTCATAAGTTTTTTTAACGGATTGCTCGTAGCACGTAGAGATATGCACGTTTATTATTATTTTACGTCAATTTGACGTGGAAATATTCGGAATACTTTATATGATTGTGGTAAATTGTTGCTTTTTCAAAAAAATAATAAACAATTTGTAATTTGAAATGAGAAGTAATGAAATTTCAATATTTTAAGGAGTTAAAAATTTTGAAATTAAAATTGCAATAAAGCAGCACTACTTTATATTTCTTGTTTTTGGCATAAAGCTTTACTTTTTCATTCATCTTATAAGTACAATTATGAAATTTAAAATTTAAATTTTACAAGAAAAAGATAAATACAATGCATTCAAAGACAATAAATTCAAATGGATTTATTACTTATACATTACAAAGTTAAAATATTTTAAGGCAGAAAAAGATTAAATATTGTTCAATTTAAAAAAATATATTTTTTTTCGCTTTGTTTTTTTTTTTTAATTAAAAATTATAAAAATCTAAATTAAAAATTGAAAATTATTAGAAACAAAAATTTTTTACTATTTATAGAATACTATTACAGTTTTATAACTTAAGTAAATTAGTAAATTTTAAACTTTGATTTAAAATTTTTCAATACGATATATGTAAAAAAAAAAAAAGAAAAAACAATTTCAACTTAATGTGAATAAATTAAAAAAAATTTTTTTTATAAAATATTCAATTCAAGCACTTCCTACCAATATCTAAAGTAAAATAAAAGTATAATATCAACGAGAGGAAAAAAAAAAGTAAATAATTTAAAAAAAAAAATGAAGTACATCAATTTTTGCGTCACTCTCTCTCTCTCTCTCTCTTTCTCCTTCTCCCTACTGTTTCGCATATCTTTTCCCCGCTTTTTTCATCTCTTCCATCTCTCATAATGCTCCCTCGCTTTCTTTTCTATCTCTTCTCCATTATCTTCGTCTTCCTCCTCATCTTCTCTTCCCTCTCTCCACTGCTTTTTTTTTGTTCAAATTTCTAATTTGTTTAAAATCTTTTGCAAAAATTCTTCCTCCTGTTCAATTTTGTTATTGCTATAGATGAATTGGCAAAAATATCCCATTAAATTGATAAAATGATAGTGATTTCTTGGAAATTATCATATGCTTTATCAGTTATAATATTTAAATGTGATAATGATATGATAACAACTTCTCGTAAAATAATCATAAATAGCAATTAGCAATAATCGAAAAAGCAAAAAATAAGATATGAAAAATGCACATGAATTGATTTTGGAGTAATAAAAAAAAAAAACGGAAATTATTTTTAAACTTCCTCTTTCTCTCTCTCTCTCTTAGTTCAATTTGATCAGAGTTTGTCTCTGTTAGTTCATTTCAACCAGAATTTGTTAGAGAAAATTTGTTCGTATTATAAAATATGAATAAATAATAAAATTTGGAAGATTAACTTTGACAAACTCAAAATATTATAACAGAAATAAGAAATTAAAATATTACTGAATGAATAAAAATTATAAAACTATTAATTTTTATCAACATAGAATAATAATTTGGCAGGAAAAAAAAAGAAATTGAAATATTTAAACCAATAATAATTACAGTAAATTAAATGTAAAATAAAAAATTGAATGTCTTCAAAATGAAATATTTTATTTAAAATTGTTTAAAATGAAGTATTGAAATTCATAAAAATGTCCTACAATTTGCATAATTGTTTGGTATATGATTTTTTTACAAATGAAATATTTTTTTTTTTTAAATATTATCTATTCTATTTTATATTATTCATCTCATTTTATTTTTATTTTATAATGCAATAATTACAAAATGTACGAGTCATCAGAAATTTGGATGTATACCTGTACTTAAATACTTAAAACGCTTTCCAGTACTTATCAGTATATCAGTATTTATCAGTTTTTAGAAAAATTCAATCGTTCTTACACTGTTATTGAAATTACCTTCTTTCTTTTTCTTTTTTATATTTCATTCATAACTTTGTATTTTTTATTGGATTTTTTTCCTCACCTAAAATTTCATACTTTTTAAATTAATTTATTTTGTTGTTCATTCATTTTACCAATTGGCTAATTTGATCATACACTTTTTATTTCACTTCTACCGTATTTCCATAATTACTTCTCTACTAATTATTCCATCATATATGTATCCTTTATCATCGAAATTTTATCAACAAGGAAGTTAGATGACAATTCAGTTTCAGGCAAAAAAAAAAAAAAAAAAAATCACTCGTTAGTATGGAAGAGGAATAAATCGGTTAGCTTTTAAAAGCTAAAGTTGGAATTTATCCTCATAAACAACCCAACCACCTACGCATTCAGAAGGAAAGCTAAAATTGATTTTGTCACCACAAATAATCAGTCACCCACGCATTACGAAAAAACTAACTTTCTCTATTTGAATAATAGGAAGAAGAAGAAAAAAAAGGACATGTAAAGAGGGTGGATTGAAGGTTGTGGAAATGAAACACAATAAGTTAGGAATTCTTTCAGCTATTTATTTTAATGAATGATTAATTATGTGAAATAGATCTTAATGACATCGATGAATGGATGTATGATTGATGGATGTGACAGGGAACTAAGAGAAGTTGAAGGAATAACAAATTCAGTAAGAGAGAATTTATAAGTGCAAATAAATGAGCATGAATGAAGAGATGGTCTTAATTTATAACACGAAAAGAAAAATAACTTTAATGAATGACACGCGGAAAAATAACTTTAATGAATGACACGGAAAAATAACATTAATGAATGACACGGAAAAATAACATTAATGAATGACACGGAAAAATAACTTTAATGAATGACACGCGGAAAAATAACTTTAATGAATGACACGGAAAAGTAATTTTAATGAATGACACGCGGAAAAATAACTTTAATGAATGACACGGAAAAGTAATTTTAATGAATGACACGCGGAAAAATAACTTTAATGAATGACACGGAA